AACAGCTCAGCATCACTAACACTATCTTTCAGCAGAAAAATAATCTGTAGACAACCTGGATGGATCCTAGATCTAAGCATTGGCACCTCATCGATTATGTCTTGGTGTGACGGAGAGATGTTCGTGATGTCCACCACACCCGCGTGATGCCCAGCGCAGAATGCCAAACAGACCTTCGACCTGTGCACTGTAAACTCAACTTCAGTCTGAAGTTCAAACCTAAAAGCATCAGTATCCCAAGGAGAAGACTCCAAGTTAACAATCTCCAATCAGCCACAGTGAGAGACGGATTCCAGGCAAATCTTCAAACTAGGATCAAAAACCATTTTATAGATGTCTCTTCTGAAACACTTTGGCACCTTATTAAAAACAGCATCCTGCAGTCCTCTGCAAGAACAAGGACTGGTTTGATGAAAACAATCAAGAGATCCAGGAACTGTTGAGGAAGAGGAGAACTGCTCACCAAGCACACCTTGCACTGCCATCCTGTCACGTAAGAAAAGCAGCCTTTCTTCTTGTATGCAGCAAGTTCCAGCAGAAACTCCGTGACATCCAGAAAAAGTGGTGAATCAACCTAGCTGTAAAAACTCAATTATGTGCAGATACGGGTGATCACAGAGGATTCTATGAGGCCCTGAAAACAGCATATGGGCCTACATACCAGGTCCAAAGCCCTCTACTCAGCGCTGATGGGCAAATGCTTCTGACAGATAAAACCTCCATTCTGAATAGATGGTGTGAACACTTTCAGACTCTTCTCAGTACTAGCTGTGTAGTCAAAGACTCAGCAATTCAATACATCACACAGCAACCAGTGAAGTATGAATTGGATATTGCCCCCACTTTGGGAGAAACCCTTAAGGCCATACAGCAGGTGAAAATTGGCGAGGCAGCTGGGGTTGATGGAATTCCACCTGAGGTCTGGAAACATGGGGGCCTTGCACTCCATGCTAAATTTCATGAGTTTGTGGTGCGCTGTTGGGAACTAGGCCAACTACCATCAGACCTTTGTGATGCAGTCATCATCACCTACTATAAGAAGAAAGGTGATAAATCAGACTGCTCAAATTACCATGGTATTACTCTGCTCTTCATTGCTGGCAAAATCCTTGCAAGAATACTTTTGAAGACTGATACCTGCTATAGCAAAAGGAATTCTACCTGAAAACCAATGTGGTTTCAGAACCAACAGGAGTATCACAGACATGGTGTTTGTTCTCAGACAACTGCAAGAAAAGTGTAAGGAACAGAACAAAGGTCTCTATGTAACCTTTGTTGATCTCACCAAAGCTTTCGATACTGTGAGCAGAAAAGGTCTATGGCAGATTTTGGAACATTTAGTCCCCCCAAGTTCCTCAAAATGATCATCTCACTCCATGAGGATCAGCACGGCCAAGTCAGATATGGCAATGCACTTTCTGAGCCCTTTCTAATAACCAGTGGTGTGAAACAAGGCTGTGTTCTTGCACCAACCCTATTCACAGTCTTTTTCAGCATGATGCTCCAAAGGGCCACGGCAGACCTCGAGGATCAGGATGGTATCTACATTCGATATTGTACTGATGGAAGCCTATTCAACCTAAGGCAACTGAAGGCCCACACTAAGACCTTAAACCATCTTGTCCGGGAGCTGCTTTATGCTAATGATGCCGCCCTTGTTGCCCACACAGAAGTAGCTCTGCAGCATTTAACACCCTGCTTTGCAGACGCTGCGTCTTCCAGCTCTTTGGGCTGGAAGAAGACAGAAATTCTTCATCAACCTGCACCTTAGGAAGTCTTCCATCATCCCCATATCACCATTGGTGAATCAGAGCTCAAATCAGTCCAGCAGTTTAATTACCTAGGTAGCCTCATCTCCTCGGATGGTAAGATTGATGAAGAGATAGACAACAGGTTAGCAAAGGCATATAGTGCCTTTGGAAAACTCCATAAAAGAGTTTGGCATAATAAACACTTGAAGAAAAGAACAAAGATCAGTGTTTACAGAGCCATTGTGCTGTCTACTCTTTCATATGGATCCGAATCATGGGTCATCTACCGCCACCACCTGCGTCTCCTAGAACGCTTCCATCAACACTGTCTCCGTAGAATCCTAAACATCCACAGGAGAAAGACTAACTAACTCACAGTGAATACTACCTTACACTTAAAGCAGAAGAAGCAAAATAATTCTGAATTGTTCAGTAAGACTTCACTTGCTGCTCAGTAAACTATGATGTGCAAACACATTAATCTTTAAAGAAGTACTTATTCACAATAAGATGCCCTGTGGTCTCCCACCTCCACCATGCTAGTCAGTGTATCTGTGTTTGAAAGCTGCATTGTGTAGTCCCAGTAGTTTTTTTGAAATTACTGTAATTTAATTTGTAATTACTGTAATTTAAAAGAATGCTTTACTGTAGACTCAGTACACAATGAAATGTGCTTGTTATAAAACTAGAAAGAAAAATTACAATTATGTCTACTATTATTTTGGACAAAGAAAAGCTTGAGCATGAAACAACCTGTTCATTTGTTTGTTTGTTTTTTTTATTGTGCTGAGAATTTGTGGGACACAGGGTAATATTTAAATGCATCTTGCTGTAAATAACCAATTTTGGTCCAGATAAATAAATACTGGAAGGGTGTTCATTTGTTAGAAAGGTAATTAGTTCAGGAGCAGTGATCTACTAAATGTTAAGATTATAAGGTTATATTTTTACCCTGTTTAAAAAAACCAAACACCCAAAAAGCAACACAAAAAAACCCCAAAGAAACCCCACAAAGCCTGAAAAACCTGAAACAACCTGTATTTTCTTTTTTTTTTATTCACTGTAAAGTGCATTTACTTTTAATCAGTCACAAGCTAACCCACCTCCTCTTTGACCTCATCAATTTGGTACTCACTTTGAACAGTGTTTTTCCATATTGTAGTGGGTTTGTAACCCTCCCTGGGAGGGAAACAGAACTAAGATAGGTCACCTGATGTATATTTTACCAGTAAGGTATTCCATACCATATTATGTCAGTTCAGATACAAAGAGACGAGAAGGAAACAACTTCCTTCTTCTCTTCTGGGACAGTTGTGTGGGATAGATGGCTGTTTTTGGAGGAGGAAAACACCTTTCATGGGAAAGTAGTCTTTATTGTCAGTTTTCCCTGTGCGTATAGTGCTTATAGTTCTCTTTCTTCTTTGTGTAAATATAAAACCGCCTTTCTCAGCAGTCTCGGTTTTGCAAGTTTTTTTTTCCTTTCCCCCATTCCCTCCTCCTATTCCCTCTGGGTGGGGTTGGGCGGAGTCTCGGTGGACACCGGACGTTCAGCCAAAGTAAACAATAACACATATTCTTGATCTTATTTTTTTCAGGAAAACAACATTCTCTGAAGCAGGCTTTGGCCAGTAAATCAACTGTAGTACAAATCAGTACAAACAAACAAACAAACTCTTAGACAATAACTGTCTCTTTCAGTACTATCAATAAAGTATTATTTATCTCATAAAAGAAAAAATCCAAACTCCAAATAACTAAAAAAACCACTGGTGTGATTATTTCCTTACAGTTTCTCTTGGAAACATCTGAATTAAAATTCAAGCCAAAGTTAGACCTCCTTTGAACATGCATTTTTAAATAAAAGCAAACAAATTAAGATACAAGAAATATTTCAGCTGCTCAGTAGGCACCATTCCTCCTACGAAGGTCTAATTATAAGGGCAATGTTTAGTAGGTATACTGAAAATATATTCTCTGGCCAATGAAGAGTTCTGATGCCTTTTGAGAGAAAGAAGGGCTTATCCTGCTGAGCTCAACATTTGTGCAGCCTCATCTCCAGCATTGTGTACAGCTTGGGGTTCCACAATATAAGAAGGACATAAAAATATTAGGATATGTTCAAAGGAGGGCAACAAAGGTAGTGGAAGGACTACAGGGCATGGCTTATGAGGAGTAGCTGAGGATATTAGGTTTGTTCTGCATAGAGGACTTACTCATGAGTGGAAGGGGAGATGCTGATCTCTTCTCTGGTGTCTGCTGACAGGACTCCAGGGAATGACTTAAAGCTGCATCAGGGGAGTTCAGATTGGTGATTAGGAAAAGGTTCTTTACTGAAACTGTGGTCAAGCACTGGAACAAGCTTCCCACAGAACTGATCATGGCCCCAAGCCTGTAATTGTTCGAGGAATGATTTATGGTTTATGGAATATATGGTTTAACTTCTAGGTTGTCCTGTGTGGAGTCAGGACTTGTACTTTGTGATTCTTGTTAGATCTCTTCCACCTAAGAATTTTCTATGATGTTATGATTTTCTGTTGCATCATTTCTCACAGTCAGGAGGAGGAATGAGAACTCTAAACAGTAAGACACGTAGAGATAGTTATACTGCTTGGAGCACTACCTTAGTTCTCATATCCTAATTCCCTTCTCTAGGACTGAGAATATGTCCTAAATTGAAATTTGCATTAATTTCCAGACAATTATCTTTGCCAATTAAATTTATAATCCCATCAAAAATTAATGTGGCTTATTTGATAAAAGTTTGTCTGGTATAATTATTTTTCAATCTTTCATTTTTTTGCAATCTTTCAGTTAATTTGTGTGTTGCAATCTTTCAGTTAATTTATGTGCAACTGATTTCTTGGTAACAAGTTTACAGTTTCTTGTGGCTTTTAACATAAATAAAATAATGGCAAATTTCTTGAGTTAAGGATTCTCTCTGATGTTCAGAAATTTTTAAAATTGTTTGTCATCTTCAGTATTGATTAGTGCTTAATGAGTTCTTGGAGGATACCAACTGGACCACCTGATAAAACAGTGTTACTGGGAAATCTGTCTTAGTCACCACCTTTCACAGTTCCTCGTGGCCTTTAAAATACTATGTGGATTTTGTCTGTTATAATTTTGCTTCCAAACACACAAACACAGCATCTGCTGGATTTGCATGCTAATTCTAGTTTCTCAACAACTGAATTTGTTAGAATCCAGTATGCCTTTCACACTCTAGGAGTCTCCTTGGTCTAGATCTCCAGTGAGTTGAAGTCTTAATTACACATTTTAGAAGAGGTAAGACCAAGGTCCTTTTGCTTTTTTTGTAAGTATTTTGAAATACTTAAGTGACTCATATATCCCTTCTTACTGTTCTTCCATCATGCAGATTATTTGCTCATGTTCCATTAGCTATTCAACACCTTTCTTTTCAACATTTAAATTTCCAAATTTAACCCAAAATTTAAAAATTATTTACAATCAATTCAATTCTTGGTGTTTGCTTTTCTTTTTCTACTTACTGTCTCTTACTCGCCTTCTTTCTTGATTGTGGATTTCTGGGCATCCAACATGCTCTTTTAAGAATTCCTTATGCTCCTGTATTTCTACCTAATTTCTTTTAAACAATAATGTCATACTTGCTGTTACAAAGTTGCTTTTCTGAAGTCCCAATTTTTAATATGCATGTGTGTCTCTGATTTCGTGTTGCTTTTCAGCCCATTTGGCACTGTCCTCTGCTTGCTTCTAATGAATATAATCACACCATGATCATCCTTGATCTCTAGTCAATGCTGTCTTCTTATTCAGTCGTTAATTAAATTGGTAATGTGTAGCATCTCTTGAGGTATTATTGAAGCAGGAAGACTAACAAAAAAAAAATTAGTAACAGAGAACAGCTGAAAGAAAAATGTAAAATTGTGATTAATTGTGTTGTGGTGTTTCAGCCTAATTGCAGCATTAGTTGGTGCCATTTAATTAAATGATAGCAGAGATCTGAGATGCTAAAATGGAATCATAATTACGCATAAAGAGGAACACACTTTTAAAAGGGATCAAGCATATGAGATAATAAAGAAATGTGTTAGGATAAGACTATCAAAAAGCCATCTTTTCAAAAATATTTAAAAAAAATCTTCAAAAATTTTGTAAAATTACTTTTAATTACATTATTTTCAAGTATTGGGAACAACCAACTGGTTGACATTTTGCTATATCAAAATTTTGGCACTGCTGTCAATTCTTGACTATCTCCAGAAGAGAAAACTGTCCTTTCACTAGAAGACTGTGATTTTGTGACTGTTGTTTAGAGCCTTCATACAGAGAAAAATCACTGTGCAGCAGTTGCAAGAGTCTGGATATTTCCTACTCCCGAAATTATTTTCAGTTGCCAGAGGTCTACACATGGACTAAAATCTGAAGCTGTTTGTTGACACTTCCTAATTATGCAGGGCAACTAAAAATAATCTCAAAAGGTGGAGATTGTATTAAAACTGAGTAGATGTGTAGCAGGTACTACTCTGAGAAAAAGTTCTAGGTAATAAAGAAGTCCTGTGCAGGAAGAAAGAAGAAAAAACTCCAAAATTCTCCTCACAGGGCAATTTTGACTGAGAAAACAAGATGTGAGCTTCACGTTTCGGTTCCTTTAATGAAAAGCTATAGAAAATAGCTTCTCATAAAATTGTATGGGGAAAACATCCCTGTAAACACAGTTTAATAGCGCACTGGCACAGTGCCACATTCCTGCTGCTTGGATTTTGGTTTGGTGTATAAAATAAGCAGCAATTAAAAATGCAGGAAGGCGAGAATTTGTGAATTCTTTTACTACCATTTTATGAAGTACTTTGTTTATTTGGAAGTTAATAGTGCAGAGGTTACCTCCTAGTTTAAAGGACTGAATCCTATGGAAAAACTGAACACATACTAATGCCTCAGAGTTTTTGATTTTTTTAGCTTTCATAGATTTTAGAAGTAACTGTATAGTGAATGTAGGTTTTAGTGTAGCTGTATTATATCCCTTACTCTTAGCATAGCAGTTACACATACCCAACTCTGTTACCCCATTCCACAGCAATCCCTCTAAATTCCATTTTCAAGGTAGAATTGTAGAAAAACACCCTAAGACATGGATCAGAAGATATCACACAGATGCAGTGACCTTCAAGCCCAGAACTCTGAAGGAACTCCAAGGACTGTGTGTGCTGCAAAGAAGATGAAGATGAGGAAGAAGGGGTCCCAAAGACCCCAAATCCAATTCCCAGAGGGATGTGTCGAGGGGCAGAACCTGGGGTACACCAATCTGGGATTGGATGGACCTTATTATGAAATCATAGAACCACTGTCTAGAGATGTGCACGTCATGTGTATTCCCTGGGCCTCAGGCTTGAGATTAAAGGACCTACTCTCTTTATCTTATCTTATACACTAAATTGGCCTGGAGTCTTTCCGTCCCAACCCCTGCAGTCTTTCTAGGCAACAATATCTACTAGGTTTCATCTGTCCCTTTGCAGATTAGGCCTAGATAATTGAAATAAATCAAGTGGAAAAAATTCACATGCACTGGAAAGTAGTTTAGTTGCCTGCACAAAATCAAATCTACTTTGCCTACTGAATTTTGAATTCTGTTGCTAGCCCTGTCTGTAACCCAGGCTTTGCAGGCGTGAAAACTGACAAGCTTTCCTACCAGCTAAAACAAATAATAAAGAATCTCCTTTTTTTTTTTAAGTGTCTCAGAACACTGAGCTTGGCAAGACAGTGAAGCCACTCTTCAGAATTGCTTGAGGAAGGAATTTTGTGTCAGTTTTAAATTAAAATGCCAGAAATATAAAATGAGTTCCTGTTTGTAGTATTCAAGAGACTAACTTCACAGTTAGTGAATCACTGTTTACTCTGCTTCTATTGAAACAGAAAAAAAAGTTGGCACAATAGGGAGGGAAATCTTGAAGCAGTAAAATTTGAATTTTTTTGTTTTATCCTGTATCTACATAAAACAACAAAATGTGTTTCTATTCACACCAATGGTATCTGCTTGTTAGTAGTTACCCTAAAAGAAAATAACAATTAACAACACCTTCCTTCTCCAGCTCCTTCTCTGTTTTCAAACTAGCATTTAGATTGTTCCGGGTTCCATTTTCATTTTCAAAAGCTGTCAATGGTGCTACCTATGCTGACAGAATTACATCCATTTCTATAACTTTGCCATGTTATTTGTCAACTTTATTTTAAATTTTTAGTAGGAGTTTGAAATAGCTTAATTTGATAATATGTTAAAATCAACACCCTTGCAAGGCCAGACTCCTGTGAACTCAATGGAAAGTTTAATGATTCCATTGCTTGTTAAGAGAAATTCAGATTTCACTGTTAATCTGTCAGTAAAACTCTGAAAAGGGTAATGTTCAATTTGCATTGGCATATGTGTTGTGGAAGTTGTCTATTTCTAAAATAATACAAGATACTTTAAAAATGGGGTTATCACCCCTTGACAAAAAGACTCACTAAGGTTATGTGTGACAGTCAGGCATTGTCTTCCCCTAAGTAACCTTAGGGGATGGTGTACAGGTTAAGGAAAATAAAATCTGTACTGAAGAAAAAAACACTGACAGACTTATTCATGTCATATCTTTCTGTTCATATAAAGACACTAATTTTATAGAAAATAAAATGCATTATTTCAGTATGTCCATGAAGAAAGAAACAAGTGTTTTTTCTGGTGGGAAACTGCTCTTGAATTTCTTTCCTGAAAGTCAATTTTGAAATGACTTGAAATACAATTTAAATAAATACATGCTACTTCAGTTTAAATTTTCATTTTGAGAACCCCAGTGGTATCCTGTGTGGTGTAAGACAGCGCTGCCAGCAGGTTGGAAGAAATGATCCTTCCCCTGTGCTCAGCACTGGTGAGGCTGAAGTGTTGACTGCAGTGCTGGGCTCTCCAGTTCAAAAAACACGGGAGGGTCTCTATGAACATCAGGAAACACTTTTTCACTGTCACAGTGACTGAGTACTGATGTGGGTAGCTGAGGGAGGTGGTGGAGTTTCCACCCTTGGAAATATTTAAAAGACAACTGGATTCTGGGTAACTGGCTCTACATGGCTCTCCTTGAGCAGGGGATGGACAAGGTAAGCTCCAAGAGTTCCCTTCAAATCTTAACCATCCCTTGATTCTATGAGATACCTCATGGAATAGGTAGTTGTAATGAATACTCATTCTTTTGTCTGTTTTGCTGTTTTCTTTAATGATCTGTGTACATGACCGGTGAAATGCCTACAAGATGCTATGAGTTCATGTGCAGGTGTTGGTAGCTATCCACATTTGCTAGGAGTCATTCAAGTATATGTTTAATTTGGATTTGTTTGAAAACATTTGTAACAGGACACACACACAAAACCAAACCCTACCTTTACATTTAAGATCAGTTATTTTATTGTTATCTTTCAAATAACATGACTGAAAATCCAAAACTCATACAAGCAAGAGAATAGTTTCTGGGTGTTGTTACTTAGCCCTGTGATTAGATTTATTATGAAAAGAAGAATTAGTATTGGGAGTTTTGGTGGGTTTTGTTGTTGCTTTTTTCCTGTAATATGTTGGCAGGATAGTTTCTGCAGAGTAGAGTTGGAATGTAGTGACTCTGTAGATCAGAGTGTTTGTAAGGATTTCAAATTCATAGCCAAACCTGATTTATGCAGCTCACTGCAACCAGTGTCCTAGGCTAATTCCCTGACTGAGCAATAGACTGGGAAGTAATTGGATACATTGTGACTGTCACAAACTTTTTAGGAAGTTACTTTCTTTTCTGGCATAAGAGCAGAAATCCATATAGAACCTAAAAAAGAAGCTGAAATAGAATTCATGTTTTTTGGCCATTCTTAGTTGCTGTAATACTGACACTTTAAAAACTTATCAGCTATACTTTATACTGCACCCAGCAGCCCTAATTTTAATTTCAAAGGAACTCTTCTTGTCAATAGTACCAAAGGTCTCAAAAAACCCTAGGGAAAATTCCTAGTCAAATATCCCATTATTTGATGATACCCTAACCTGACCTGAGAAAATTTCTGTTATTCTAAGATAATAAACTAAACTTTTTTACTGAAGGTGTTGGTAGGATTATCTTTAGCAAAAAATATATTAGGCAGGAATATTTTTGAATACTGAAACTGAGGCAGAGTGCAACTTTTTAAAGAGGGCTAAACACTACTATTTTTACACAAAGTACATTCTTTATATTCTGGTTCAGAAATGTAAACAGTGAAGCCATTTTGTACCATGATATAAGGCATACTAATGTGGAAATGGTCATTACTATATTATCAGAGTGTTTATGCAGAAACTGTAACAAATGCCTAAAGTCTAAGATTTCAATTTAACAGAGCTCTCAAAATTTTCTCCAAAATAGAACTGTGATTTATCTCATGGAGTAATTAGTTTCAGAGGTTTTTATAATCAAAAGGCAAATAGGGATGAAGAAAAACAAGTGGTAAAGCATGACAATAAAAATATGCCTTATTATTTCTCATTATAGGACACAAACTTTTTTATGTGTGTTTGCTAATTGTGTATGGAGGGAAAGCATAAAAATGCCTATCTTGGGAAAAAGAATTCCATAAGTTAGGATCATGAAATATGATTAATTTAGTAATGTCACAGAGAAAAATACCCTTAATTGTTTAATAGGAAACAAATAGTTCTGTAGAGTTTTCCAGACATCTCCAACAGTAGAAATTTATCACAAATGCTTTAATGTGAAAAATTCAAAGCTATAAAATGCAAGTTGAGACCCAAAAGATAGGTAAACTTTACTAACTGGAAGAGTAATAGTAATTTTAGCAAATAGTTCCTCATACTTTTCATTTCTGATCCTAAGCTGCTGTAATGGTTTTGAGTTTAGGCCTTCCTTCCTGATTGCCAGGGAGGAAGGAAGGAAGTATTCCATCCTATTCCTTTACGTAACCAAACATATAAATAGACAGAGAGAGAAGCCTCTTCCTCTCTTCCCTTCTGGTGAGGTTTGGGGACTGCAGACTCCTGCAGCCGGTCTCGCTTCTGTGGGGGAGCTGAGGCCTGGCTGGGCCTATGAGGCCTGTTGTTTCTGCCAATCCAGGGTCCAGTAGTGTGGTGGTGGCGTTTGGGCGATTGTGCTATCTCAAGGAAGGTATTAAGGTTTTCTTTGGCTAGTTTTTAATTGAGTGTGTATACCTCTTTGGGTTTTTTTGGGGTTTTTTTGGTTTTTTGGTTTTTTTTTTTGGTTTAATCCCTTTTCCCTTTTCCTTTTCTGTTTTCAGGTGTTGGTTTTTTTCTCTTATGTGTATATAGTTTTTGTAATTGTATATGAATGTAATATAAGTGTAAATATACTTATATATATATTGCTTTAGCTCTCTCTTGTTTCGGTTCTCTTGGGTTTTTTTTTTTCTTTTCCCTTGGTTTTTTGGGGGGAGCTCTTGTGGCGGGGGTTTGGAGACTTGACAGGGAGCCAGCTCAAAACCACCACAACTGCTTTTAAAAAACAAGAAAAATGAGAGTGCAGAGTATAGAAGGATATATGTTGGTTATATAATTCTTTCCATGGTATATTCAGAATCACAGAATCAGAATCACACAATATTCTGAGTTAGAAGGGACCCAGCAGGATCACTGTGTCCAATTCCCAAGTGAATGGCCCAAACAGTGTAGTTTAAATAAAAACTCTCTGAGAGAGTTAGCAATGCCTTCAGTTATCACAGTGTTAAACAGCATGAATTACAGCAATATTACTCCTTTTCAGTTGAAATGTCCACTCAGTTAAGTGTGAACATCTTGAAAGCCAGATACTCCTTTGTGAAGGAAAAGGGCATTTCCTGGCAGACATGAGGTGACTTGCTATAGCAGTTTCTTTGCCATTTCATTATACATGCCAACACTGCTGTTTTAAGTAAATAAAGGATTCGATTACAATGATTTTGTCTGATTTTACATAATTGCTGAAAATGTAAACAATAGGTTTTAATCAGTTTAAAAGTCTGTTTTTAATTGCTTGTCTAAAGCAACACCAAGCTGTGTGGTACAGTCAACGCCAAGCTGGAAGGAAGGGATGCCATCCAGAGGGATCTTGACAGGCTTGAGAGATGGGCTTGTGCCAACCCCATGAAGCTGAACATGCAAGGTCCTGCATGTAGGTCTGGATAAATAAAGGCATAAATACAGGCTGGGCAGAGAATGGATTGAGAGAAGCCCTGGGAAGACAGACTTGGGGATGTTGGTGGACAAGAAATTCAACGTGAGCCAGCGATATATGCTTGCAGCCCAGAAAGCCAAACGTATCCTGCTGCATCAAAAACAGTCTGGAGAAGAGAAGGTTCTGGGGA